CACATTCCATGTGCACTTCTAAATGTATGACTGAATTTATTCCTTAGTTTCTGGTGGGCAGTGGTTCTCCTTTGTCATAGCAATTCCTGCTTTGGTACACTTCTTTCTCCTCTATTCCTCCTATCCAAGTTGCCACAGGCCCAGCGTGCCATCTCTAAGTCCTCTGCTCCCTGCCATGAGCTATGGGCACACTATCCAGGTCATGTTTTTTCCTCCTCCTCATATGGGCTACTCCGACATTCCCTCTGCTCCCTCGCTGTGTCTCCTTAACTATAAAGCTATCACTTCCTCCTTTTTGCCAGGTTCTAACACAAATTCCTGAGGATGAGGATTCTGATTAATTTGAGCAGTATATTCAAATGGTATCTTCCCAACTCACCCTCATTGTTAACCGAGACCCACTGTATTTCAGTACCATCTTGGCTCTAAGTTAAACTCTCTTTTAAATTAGAATGAGTTCCTTTTCTACAGGAAACTCCTATTTCTCATTAAAGGAACATTTCTCCTACAGTTAAACAAGACCTCTGCCTTTTCTCTGGGTATATCTGTTCAGGGAATGTCCACAACACAATCGGAAGTTGTAGAGCATTTTAGATGTTTGGAATTTAATACTCTCACAAAGGAAAAACACATGAACTCTGTTATGCTTTATATAAGAGGCAGGCATCCCCTCAAAGTTTATGTGTAAGATAATGCAAGAACATTTTAGAGATAAAATGATTAGATTATGAGTTGTAACCTAATCAGTGGATTAATCCACTAGTAGGAATTAACTGGGTGGTCTGTAGGCAGGTAAGGTGTGGGTAGAAGAAGTAGGTCACTGGGGCTTGTGCCTTTGGAGTTTACATTTTGTCCCTGGTGAGCAGAGCTCTCTCTGCTTCTGGATTGCTATGTCCTGAGGTGATTTCCTCTAAAATGATGTTCTGTCTCACCCTAGACCCAGAGCTATGGAGTTGGTCATATTTGGACTGAGAACTCTGAAACTGTGAGTGCCAAATAAACTTTTCCTCCTCTAAAATTGTTCTCATCAGGTCTTCTATCACAGTGATGAAATAACTGACTAAAATATACACAAAGTCCAGCCAAGTCTTATTATTTAGAGTTGTGCTCTATAAAGTCTCCATGAACACTGAATTAATAAACACTGAATCATTGCTCCTAGAGGAAACACAGGGCTAGTTTCATGGACGCCTCTGGTCACAAAATTTTCATCAACCAATCAATATATAATCTTGGTTTTTGTGCATGTCTCCAAGGACATCTTATTTAATACATATTACTGCTTTGTTAATGTTGAACTCAAAGCCAGAAGCACTATAATTCAAGTCTAAGCTTTTGTATTTTTTTTTCAGAAGACATATGACAAGTTTCTTGCATTTAGGGTCACCAGACAGTACTTCAGCACAATGCTTAGGGGACATTTTAAACTGTAAAATCACTAAGAAAGAGCATAAACACTTAAAAAGTGGCATTAAATATATAACAAAGAGAATAGTTATTTGCAGTGTGAAAAAATGAAATAATAAGATAAAAATGTCACCTTGGTCAACATCATCTGGGAACACGCATCTCAGTGATTCAAATTTTTCAGCGTTCTGTAATTTTCCACAAATGACTACAAAGATACCAGAGTACTGATTTGGGAGTTAACAAAATTCAGTGGGTAAGCAATCTTGTGAATCCTCAACTGTCAGGATTGACAAATGAATTATGGGTTTTTGAACTGCCCAAAGACAGAGGGGGTGCCTCCTTTGGAAATTTTTTTATGCAAAGGCACCAGCTGAAAATTGCCCAGCTGTATTGGTGACACCCTGTTCAAAGAGAAATTCCTTGCTAGACAAGGAGTTTTATTAGTTCACAACCTTGGGTTCAAACATATACTGCCTGGAGGAAGAGAATTATGAGCACAAGCTATTAAGTTCTCATTGGGCTGCTTTTACCCTCAGCATTCCTTTTTGTTTGTCTTGAAGAAGCTCTCTCACAACAAATCCTTCTGATGTTTAAGCCTACATAATAAAGGTGCTGAGCTTGCTAGTAGTCAGTCTTTCCTCCCCCAGAGGCAGGCTGAACCAGCAAAAAAACCCCAGCTTTTTCTCTACTTTCGTGTCTGTCTTTTTCTTAATCCCCTTATTGATCAGTTCATGTAGCTCTTAATAAACTGTTGTGCAGGATTTGAAACTGAATAGTGAGGATTGGCTCTCTAGGTACATGAACGATGACTGCCAAATGTGTTCCCTCACTTGTGTAAGGCTCTTGATCAACATGCATCTGGGAGAAGTGGCTTTCCTACCAGACCACTTGTCCCTTTATCTCCCTCCCTCTCACTTCACAATAGACCCTACATCTCTTTCCAGTTGGTACACAGCAACCTTGGTTGGAACACTCTACTCTCCTAATACTAAGTGCTTGTTCTCTGTACTGTTTTCCTACCTTTCACGTTTTAGCTATTAACTTTGTTTATCTCATTTTGGAACTATTATTTTACTTACAGTCTAAGTTTTGTTCTGTTTTAGTTTAATTTTTTAGAACAATTTTTCTTTGTTATTTTAAAAAAATTTTACATGTTATACACCCACATAATAAATATTTGAAAGTTAATAAAAGAATATTTATTAAATCTTAAATTTCTCCCCTTATGCTGTCCATAATCACCCAGTTCCTCACCTTTTCCATTGTGACAATGAATTCTACCCAATTGTTAAGTATCTTTCCAGAGACATTTAATCACAAATAAGTGCAATAATTTGACATAAACAGTAGTCCCCTCTCAATATATTGTCATACATCCATCTTTTCTCAGTTATCTATGTATCTCAGAAATAGTTCGTATCAATAGATATAATCTGCCAGACTTTATGTAACCATTTCCCTAGTATTATATTGTGGAAGCGATTGATATATTGTATGCAACTTTAAGGAATTTACCTTTTATCCTTTTATATTTATGTCATGAACATAATCATCTCTTGCCCCTAGAGAAGACTTGGACAGTGCCCTTGACTTTGTGTATATGCCCATAGTCACTCAAGTCTCAATGTCCAGTTCAAGGTATATGCTGTTGCTTGGATCTTCATACTATAGTTAGGTCCTCATGTCACGGCATGATTTTGGCAGCTACCTGTTTGCATTCCAGGCAGAAGTGATGCTGGTTCCACTTCTGCCACTCTTCCTCTCTCTGAGTCTTACAAGAGGATAACACAGAATATTTCTTTTTTTATGGATAATTTTCTGAGTTCCCCAGAGAACCATTTGTTTAAAAACCCTGCATTTCCCATGACATAAGCAGATGAGAGATCTGAGCACAGCTTCTGGGCAACAGCTTCCACCTCCTTCCTTGCCTGCCTTCCAGTTTCCCTTTACACCTCCAGGTGGTCATACGGAACAGGATCCAGATCTTATGCAGAGACACTACATTGGTTTCCTATTGCTAATATAATAACATACCACAAACTTAGTGGCTTAAAACAATGGTAGATTTCTGAAGGTCAGAAGTCTAAAATGGGTCTCATTGGACTAAAATGCAGTCAGAGGATTATGTTCCTTTTGGGGACTTTAGGGAAGAATCCATTTTCTTGACTTTGCCAGCTTCTGGATGCCTGTACATTTCTGATTCATGGTTTCTTCCATCTTCAAAGCTACCAATGGCCAGTTGAATTTTTTTCATGCCACATCACTCTAAAATTCTCGCTTGCTACCCTTATTCCCTCATGACTCTGGTGATATCACAGAACCCATAATAGTTTAGAATAACTTCTCTGCCTCAGTGTTAGTTGATTAACAACTTTAATTACAGCTTTAACTTTAATTTCTTTTCCCATGTAATTTAATATATTCATAGATTCTAGGAATTGGGATATTGCCATCTTTTGGAGGCAATTATTCTGCTGATATGACCACTCTACAGAGGGTGAAATACTCATGCCTTGCTTGCTTGGACAAATGGGTTGTCACTCATCCTTATGCAGCCACTTTAATGAACAGGCACAAGGTACTTGAGCTATCTCTGACAATACCCAATGCCAAGTTCTCTAAAACACTTGACTTTAAGGAACACATTTCTGAGTGATCCTTTCCACTGTACCCAACTTGGAGTGCCACTACATCTTTCCTTGTCTTTCTTGGTAATAATGCTACTATAGACATCTCTCCAATCTTATAATCCTTACAATCCTTTACTGAATCTAAGGGTTCCAAGAGTAATAAAATCACTGCTATAACATTTTATTTGTAAACCATGCACATGAAGATTTGTCTTATGGTTCTTTTAGTAAATGAAATTCACTTTATTGTCACCCTAGTAAAAATTTTATTTTTAATATCCTTGTTACATGATATTTTCAATTGTTTGGTATTATAAATTATTCTGCATTGAATGTTCTTGGATATACATCATTGTGTACATATTCGAGATGTTAGATAATTCCAAGAAGTGGATATAATTGATGGCAAAAGGTTGCCCTTTTTACTTTTGATGGATGTTGCCAAATTTATGTCTATACTGGTTTATGCTCCTGTATAAAGATGTATACCCCAAATTATGTTCCCAGAAGCCAAAAATTAAGGGAGAATATTTCCCACACCATCAATAACAGGATATGATATCTAACTATGGACCTTTACCTATTAAACGGATGGTAAAATATACTTCATGGGATATCTCATTCTCTGAGTGAATTTGGGCATTTTATAATTATGAACCATATGAAGTTATATGTGTTTCTATATGTTTCAAACATTCTGGGAATTTTTAACTGACTTTTAAGAATTTAAGTAGCATGAAGCCAAAGTGTAGTTGAAACTGATTTTGAGAATTCTTTCCAAAAGAAAGAATCAGAAAAGGAAAATGTCAAGCACGAGGAGTCAATAATCAGAGCAACCAAGCCCCAAACCTCACGTATATGTTCTAATTCTTCAAAATTTTGCTTTGAGCATTAATAGGTTGACAATAACCATGAAAGTCTTCTTTAGACTAATAACATTTCTTTTTTTCTGTCTCTTAGGAAGTAAGAAGCATTGGCTCTACTACACGGAATGCAGAGGAAGTTCTTCTTTGATTAAAGTCTTCTGAAGTTAGTGCTCTGCCCTACTAATATTTTAACTTCAATCAATTCCCCTCAAAAGCAATACTTATCCACTGTACCTATCAAAAAAACTGTGATGGATATGATGAAGATTTTTTATTAAATGGTAAGGAGGACTCTAGATTTCTAGAATATAACCATTCTATGGAGAAATTTGATTTGTCAAGGTTACTTTTATCTTAGCATAATGAAGTTCCTTTAGGAAAACTTGTATGTAGGATTTTACAAATAAGTTGTAAAGGATAAAAACTAAATTTGGGCTCAATTTTATCAAGGCAGAGTCAATAGTATATGATCATAAATGAATAAACATTCACATGTGAAGAACTTCCTTCTTACATGTTTTCAATTAGATTTTACTATATTTAAATATAGGGATGGGTGGAAACAGACGACCAAACTATTCAGACATACTTTCACTTTACAAACAATACAAAATAATGTTGATACCCACATACAAACTTCTAATTTTTTAAAAAATATTGGATAAAATGACTGCAATATTCTTGGTATTTTAGCTGAACATGGAAAGTCAGTGCCCTTAAAGGCAGGGTTTTACACAATCCAAGTTCTATATTGGGATATTGCCAATATATCCCAATATAATTTATTTCCAATAATAATCTTCCTTGAACTTCCAAGAGAAAAAGAAATACTCCTTCTATTTCTTTCTATGAAAAATTTAGGGCTAGAAAATAAGAGTGCTGACTTGGGGTATTCTAATCTCTTTTTAGAGAATCCCTGGTTCTGAGAAATCCAAATAAATATAAGTTTCTGATACTATTTAGTGGTAATTGAAAGCTGGATTTAAAACATCCCAAGAATAGAATAGTTTTTTAAAATATATTTTTTTAATTGTAGATGGACACAGTATCTTTTTTTTAAAGAGAGAGAGAGAAGAGAGAGAGAGAGAGAGAGAGAGAGAGAGAGAGAGAGAGAGAGAATTTTTTAATATTTATTTTTCAGTTTTCAGTGGACACACCATCTTTATTTTATTTTATGTGGTGCTGAGGATCAAACCCAGAGCCCCAAGGATGCCAGGGGAGCGTGTTACCACTTGAGCCACATCCCCAGCCCAAGACACAGTATCTTTATTTTTATTTGTTTATTTTTTATGTGGTTCTGGGGACTGAACCCAGGATCTCATGGCATGTGAGGCAAGCACTCTACCAATGAGCCACAACCCTAGCCCAGGATAAAATAATTCACTATTTGTTTGACTAAAAGTTCAATTGTTTTCAAGATTCTTCTTCACCAGAACCACCATTTTGTTCAGATGATCTTGCTAATCCTGCCCTCCTACTGGGTTAGTCCTTCCTCCAAAGTAGTACAGACAGCCCTCACTTTGCATGGTAAGTGCAAGGCCATAAAAATGCAAGCTAAAACTCTACAAAGAGATTTTAATAACCGAGAGGAAAAGTTATGATTTTTCAAAGATCTTTAGAAATTTTTGCCAAAACTTAAAATATCTCTTACTATAACCTATAGATACATATGAAAAGGTAAAAAAAAAAAAAACAAGTGAAACTAATATTTATTTAGTACATTATAAATATACTGACACTAAATTTTGGTACTTTGGTATATAATTTTATAATGACATATACCAATTTGAAATTGTCTTGATGTTAAAATATTAGCTTCATTGAGAATTAAATTTATTTCTTTGTACTTTCATCAAAAAACAGTTTGAACGATGTTTGCCGTCTCCATCTCCTCAATGTATGACTTAAGGTACATGGACTGTCTTGTTTCTGCTTTGGGGAATTGTCATCCTGCTTTCCAGTTTTGATCATCTTCAAACATTTCATCCTTTGTACTTTCAATGTCATGAAATACCTCTGAGAGTTCTTTTAAAGTGAAGATGTCTCTTCCTCTAGGACAGCGTTATTCCTTTTGTCACAACCTCTTTATGTTAGAAAGTTCACCTTCAGGAAGGTCCTCTGTCTGCATGTCTATAATCACTCAGATGGAACCAGTGCCAATCACCTACAGTCTACTATGTCCTCAAGAGTTCCACAGGTGTTCATTCAATCTGCTGCCATTGTTGCATTTTCATCTGTGTTGGCCAGTTGATTTTTCCCTTGTGTAAAATGCAGAATGGGTCTGTCAATGGGAGACCCATTTCCCTGCAAAAAATGTCCTCCACTCCAACCACTAATCTAAAAGGAAACACAATTACATTTTGCTGTGTATGTGAACTGAAAGCAGATGGGCTAACAAATTTTGGAAGAAGTCACATAATTGGTCAGTGATCACAATGCATGTCTTATATTTGCATAATGAGTGTGTAATAAAAAGCTAATAAGGAGTTTGTACTGTGTAATAATAATTCATGTGTTACAACTGAAATTTGAAGCATGTTGTTGGAAGACTGTCTTAACTATAGTCAATGAAATTCATACATGTAAGAACTATGTAAATCAAGCACTGACTTAATATAAACAGAAATTATGTATTTATTCATTCATAAGGATTGATTTTTTTGGAAACAAATGGCTCAATGGCTCCTCTTTCTACATTTAGTTAAAAAAATAAGATATAATGTTAGGCGCCATCCTGACTTGTTTACAGACCTTAACAATATAAAACTAGAAAAATACTAGAATCTGATGAAAGATCATTCCCATATACATCTTTGTATATTACTTTATCAAACCATTTATATAGTATTTACTGGGCCATGAATTTTTCTAAGAGCTTAAAAACATCATCTAATTAAATCATCTTGACAATGAGGTAGCTACTATTATTTTTCCCTCTTAAAGATAAAGAACTAAGAATAGAGAAGATAAGTGACTTGCATACACAGCTTGTAAGTGGAAGAGCAAGATTCAAAACCAGGAAGCCTAGCTTTGGATAACGTGCTTTCAACCACTGCACAATGCTGTCTTGTGTTGCTAATTGGCCTGTGTTGCTAATTCTGCAAAGTAACACATTGCCAGGTTATTGATCCTGCTGGTAGAGTGAAGTCTATCTCATTTATTATTGTCGTTTATGACCATAGATTTAAAATTCAATACATAAAGCTGGGAGTATCTACCACAAAGATTACTAAGGCTCCACAGAGCTTAAGAGAAAAGTTATTTCTTTATTTCAGAGAAGTCATAAAGCAAAGGGAATTTTTTGAAGGAAAGGGACTGCAGTTACTAACATCCCTTAGATTTTCAAGCAAATGGTTCAGAAGGTTAGAAGGCTGGGGCTCTGAGCATGAAGCTCTTCGTGAATGTGGGGACATAGAAAGCAGAAATTATAAAATCAGCCAAATATTTACCCCACTTCCACCCATCTTACAAAGGTCTCTTTAAAGAAATATTCAATTAAATTCTATGGAAATTTAAATGGCATAAACTTGAGTTTTCCCTGCAAAAGCTGTCCATCCCTCCAACCACTAATCTAAAAATTACAAAAATAAATTTATTGACCCTGACAAATATATTAGGAAGAACTATACCCATTAAGAAAAAACTGATAGAACACTAATACTTCAAAAATAACCATTTCTCTTTTTTAATAAAAGTCTGTTTGTAGAATATTAGTAATCAAATAATTTGATTTGAATCATTGGAGTTCCAGTTAAAGATTATACTCGTTGTTTATTTTAAAATCTTCTTGTGTTTCATTGCCATTTCCTGAATGTCTTCTTGATGCCTAGCAACTGCCAAACCTTTCATTTTCAGTGCTATTCCTTTTTTCTTTGTTAAGCAAATAGAAGAAAAATGTCAAAAAGGTCTACAGGTTGTTACTACAAATAAATTATTTCATAAAAAAAATATGGTGACCTAGAATATGCCATTCATGAAGGTAAGGTCTCAGAGAAGAGCACAGGAACTAAAGTGAAAAGATAGATTTGCATCCCAGGCAGGTGAATCAACTCATGTGGGTACCAGCTTCCACTAAGAAGCAATAGTTGAGCTAATAATCTCTACATTCATTTTTGTTGAAAATTTGAATAATACTAAAAAAATGAAAGTAATCTTTTACAATGATCCCTAACACTTGTGCTCCATTTGACCGGTTGGTCTTCAATGTTGGTTCTCCTTTTTTATCTTCCTGACATTACGCAAAACCATTTGGAAACCAAGATTTGTGTATGTCCTAAGGATGTTCTTTATCAACTATTGGAACTGGACTCAGAAAGTAGAAGAAAAGATTCCAAGACAAGTAGACCTGCTCCTGTGCACCTCTCTGTGACCTTATCTTCACATATGGCATAGTCTAGGTCATTCATTTTGTTTTTGAAGTAATTTATTTTTAGGCCACCAAAAAACAAAACAAAACCCTGCAGTCCCCATTAGATCATGGCCCTCAATGCTTTCATGTTTCCATTGGCTTCCTACCTGTCTCAGAACAAAATACAAAAATTTTAATCCTAGAAAATCCAAAATCCAAAAATTTTTAACCTACAAAGCCCCAAGCCATCTCTCTTCCACAATCTTCTCTCCATTCATGCTGCTCTCCATGCTCACTGGCCTCCTTCAGGTTTTCACCTTTATCAGTTAAGCTCACATCCATCTCACTGCTGAAGCCTAGGACATTCCTCAGGATGTCCCCTTCTTATCCTCCTAGCATCACTAAAAGGACACCTCTTCCTCTTCATAGAAGCCTTCCCTAGCCAGCTGACCTAAGGAAATTTTCCTTGGTTAATCTCTATTACTTAGCTTGATTTAATTTTTCTCTTTTCATTCATTCACTTGCATACTCTCTCCTTTATGCCATACAAGAGGGTAAGCCATGTGAAGTCAGGAATCTTCTCTTATTCACACATATGTTCAAGTAATAGTACCTGAAAATGGCAGGCACTAAATGAATAACCATATACTACTCACCAATATGTCACCATGTGCTTGGTATGTAGTACATTTAGTAAATAGTTGGGAGTTTTTTCGTTTTTATTTTTGTGGTGCTGGTGATAGAATCCATGGCCTCACATGTGTGAAGCAAGTGCTCCACCACTGAGCTGGATCCCCAGTCCAGTTTCTTAATGGAAATAAATAAGTAAAGTTACTCACCATAACATTAGTATTGGTATGAATTATTTATTATTGTGTATATTGATTTACAATTGCTCCTGTAACAATTTTGGTGGCATAAAGCAACACAAATTTCTTTCTTTACATTTCTGGAGGTCAGAAGGTTACAGAAGTCTTACTGAGCTAAAATCAAGGTATCAGCAAAACTTCAATCTGTCTGGAGGCCCAGGGAGGAAATCCTTGCATTGACTTTTCCAGCTTCTAGAGATTGCCCACAGTCTTAGGATTGTGTCTCCTTCCATCTTCAAAGCCAGCAATGGCCACTTGAATCTTTCTCCTGCTGCACTATTCTAACACAAACTCTTCTACCTCCCTCTTGTACTTGTAAGTATGCTTATAATTACATTGGGCTCACATAGATAATTTCTTCATCTTGGTATAATTTCTCAGGATAATTTCATTATCTTGGGATAATTTTAATTTAGCGACATCTGCAAAATGCTGTTTATAATGTAAAAACATGTTCATGGGTTTGAAGGATTAGGATGTAGACTGGGGAGTCTTAACACATCATCACTTGGTATGATTCTGGGAACAAACTGCCCTTATTTTGGATATTCCCATGGAAACCCCGTCTATTATCTTCCAAACATGTGCTACATGATCATATTCTGGAGAAAAATTCCTTATAAGTAATCTTATGTCTTATTTTCTCATCTCAGGTATAATATAGGAATAATGCTATTTTGTATAAATTGAGCAATGAGTTTAGACTACTACCCTCCTCTGGATACAAAGAGGCTGAAAATAAACAGACATTGACATCTCTGAACAGACTAAGAATTCATTTCTGTTGCTGGTAGAAGATAATTACAATAAGAGAAAATACATTCCATTCCCATCACCAAAATTAGAACTGCAGTAGCACTGTATCTTGTAAAAAGATAAAATTCAATGGGAGACAAGCAAATTGCATCATTATTAGAAGGATCTATCTTAAGATTAGGGGGATAAGCAGAGAGAGGCAGGATTATGGACTCCAAAACCTACATTTAGCTGAGGCAATTCTCTTCATTTTCCTGGGAAAAATCAGTCTATACAATTAAGCAAACCCAAGGGACCAACATATTAACTTGCCATCAATATATTCTATCTGCCTTGGCACAGCTAGTGTTTCTGGCATTATTTATGAAGGCACTCTTTCTATATTTGCACAGTATGCAGCATTGTTCATAGCAGGTTGCAGATTATTGTCAATGAATAATGCTGTGGAAGCTCCTAACCCTTTGTGCTTTTGTCTAACAAGTAAATCAGCAATAGCTGCTTCTCTGTGTTCTTCTTGAGATTATAGCACAGCCATAAATAAGCTATCAGTGGCAGGATCCATTTGGCATCAGTGACTATAACTGCAAGACCTACAGGTTCATATTGTTCCCTTGTATACAATAAAGAAAGCTCATCACTAAGAATTTTTTAAGGTGAGAAACCTAAAATATGGACACCAGAATTTTCTAAAATTTCACTTTGTTTGAAGTGAATCATCCAATGTTTATATTAGGTCTTTTAAAAGAATTTATCTATAAGAAGCTTAAAAAAGAATAGCAGAGAAATAGAAATTCCTACACAGTTGCTTTTCTCTAAACTATTATAGATTTCATAAAAGTAATCTTCTACCACAGAGGAAGGGGAGATTTTTATCTTGACAGATTCCATAGCTTGTCATAGAGCTTCAAAAGAGGCCAGTGGATCTCAAACCTGTGTTCACAGCCCAGTTTGGTAAAGACAAATCTCCCAGAGGATCACCATTCATAACTTTCTAAAGGCCACGTAGAAACACTTCACTAAAATTCATGGGAACACACACAATCCTTTTGCTAAAGCACCACAAGGTCACTGTCCATGCATAATAGCCAGTTTAAATGTGTCTATTGAATATTTTTCAAATATATTCAAGAATTAGGTACCTTTTTTTCTGTGAGATCACTAAAGGCATCACTCAATACATGACTCATAGCTTAGACAATATGAACAAAGCACCATAAACACTAGAGAGAGAGAGAGCAAGAGTCCCGGACAGAGTTGATCCATTTGATGTCTGCTTTGATAAGGGACTTTGCCATTAAATGGCACAAGAGAGTCCCTTCCACTTTTGGACTTTACCTAGCCTCATCATCTTACCCAGGTATACCGTTTTATCCCTGGGATCTTTAAGTTACTATTCCTGTGAAATCCCTGCTTCCAAATAAGGTTGCATTGTGAGGTTCCAGGTAGGCTAATGTGGGAAGACTTTGTATTTGCATAGCCCCTAAATCTCTCATCTTTTTGGATCTGCCTGGTGCCCTGGCCTTTACAAGTAATGTATGTAGCCTCAAGACTGGATGCATGCAGAGCACAGCAGAGCAAAGCAGAGCCTCCCCATCCTGCTGGATATTTTTCCCCCACATGCAGCACCAGCTCCATGTCAGCCAGGCTTTCTCCCAGCAGAACTCCCAGGCAGATTAAGTACCTATGTTCTAAGGAGATGACTCTCAGTCCTAAGGTTCCCTTCTCCTCCCTAGAGAACTCTACAATCTTATGCTCAGCATTTGAACAACCTGGGGAACTCAATTTTTTTGTTTTTGTTTAAAGTACACATTTTTTTTTCTGACTATAAGATAATGCATTTCACTACAAGGTGAATTTTTTAAAGGATACATCAGAATATTAAAAAGATAAAAATCATCGATCCTACCACATAGAGAATAACCACAACTTAGATGCAATCCCCAACCATCTTTCTCAATGAAATATAAAGTCCAAAAATAACTGAGGCATGATTGCACATACTGCACATACTGCACATATAAAGTCCAAAAATAACTGAGGCATGATTGCACATACCCCTTGGATCTCTGGGTTACAGACTGAAAGAGCTCATAAACACAACTATGACAACCATGAAAACAGCCAAGAATAAGAATATCTTTTAAGCTTCTTATTTTCACATTATCTATCCTAATCATTTCTTCATGTTACTAATCTCTAAAACATATTTTTAATGATTTTATTTCATGTTATTTATGCATTATAATTTAAACATCTCTGCATTATGGATATATAGACCAAGTCCAATTTTCAACTATTCACAAATCTTAAATATCTCTGATAATTACATCTGAATCAAAAGATAAAAATGTTTTTAACTTTTTGATATATATGTAACTAAACCTTTAAAATGCTTATAACAATGTATAATTTTACCATCTGTTTCATCATTCTCTTAAATCTTGAGCATCAATTTTGACTAATTTGAAAAGCAGACAATGTTATTTTATGGCATTTTAATTTGTTATTTCTTTTATTACTAGTGAGGTTAGATAGTCATACTTTTAAGAATTATTATATTTCTTTTGCAATTGATTCTTCAAATTCTTTTTTCTAGTGGGATATTTATTTTTTTTCAATAATTCATCTGTTCATTTAAAATAATTTGTATTGAGTGATTACAATGTGCCAGACAATGGATTAGATTAAGGGAAAAGAATATTAGATAGATGGGATAGTACATGGTTTATTGGGTTTTGCCTTCATGGAAAATGACATTTGCTTTCTCATTGACTTACAACATCTCTCTATGTGTAGAGGCCATTAACCTCTTGCTATGTGTCACTAACATTTTTATTAATTTGTCCTTTTTAAATTTTGTATATGGTAGTTCTTGATCTTTGGACATTTAAGAAGGAAATAATCAGTATTTTAGGGGGAAGGAAGCAAGCAATTTGTACTTAGGAAAGAACTTCCTCACCAAAAATATCCAGCTATTCTTTCAATTCACTTGCCTTTTTACTCTTTTCAAACCAGTTCTCCATTTGAATTTTGTTTTGATATATGCCAAGAAATGTATAACCTTATTACTTTGCTAACTAGTTATTCCAGTAACATGCAATAATGATGTGCCATGTTTTCATTGTTTAGTAGCTCAGATTTATCATGCACTAGTGATAAAACATCAGGTTCTATGTTTTCTGTTCCATTTTATTGTCATATTTAGTCTTGGGTCGATGTCACAGTGTTTGCTATAAAGACTTTATATATACTATGCTTTAGCATACAAAAGTGCAGTCCCCACATTTATTTCAATTTTCTGGTATTTTCATTATCTTATTTTTTCTGATCCAGGGTCATTCCATTATAACCAAATAAATTTCCATTAGCACTTTGTTTGGAATTGTCACAATTTCCCTTTAGACTGTAAATCTGTTATGTGATTTTTCATTCATTTGCATTCTCAGCTGATAAATATTCTTCCTAATTATCTTTTATTCCATAGTCCCCCTTCACATATCTGACTATAATTTCCCCCACTTTAAAAGACCACATTAAGCAGACTCATCAATTCTCATTCTATTTCATCTGTCACAAACTCCACATGATAAAAATGTGGAGAAATGTAGGCCAAAAAGAAAGTTGCTTAGAAGTGAAAAAAGAAAACTGAATTTCAAATCCAAATTTGAGTTTCAAATTAGCAGTGTGAGCTATATATCAAGTCAAATAAAAAATCCACTTAAAGTATTTTCTTTTTTAGTGACTAAAAGTGGAACAAGTTTTTAATCCATTTTATTGCAAATACAAAAAATTTCAGATATTTTATTATTTTTAAGCTTTATTGAGTTGATGGTTCAACATACTATTGTTCTAGAGAACAGAAAAAATATGTTTCCTGAAATTTTTATTTGAAATTATCTATCAATAGAGATGCATTAGATTCAGATGGCCATTCCCTGTAGCTTTTCACTAAGGACATCTCTGTAAGATTTAGTCCCTCTACTGCTCATCCTACACTGTCCTTAGTTCTCTAACTTGCAGTATTCACCACTTATTTTCAATCATCATCTTTGTATAGTTGTTATCAAAAACCAGATGTAAGTATAGGATCACAAGCAAACCTATGAATAGTTTCCATTACCTTGGGAAAATAAATTAAACAATAAAACCGGTCTAAACTTTCCAGAGAGTATCAGCAGTAAGGAATCATCTTTATTATCTGCAGACCTTTAAAAATGAGTATTAAATTGCTGTGTTTGTCCAACTATAGGCCATAATAGTTTACTTAAATTTTATTCAGTCCATTCTACATAATAAAACTCACAAAAGCCATGGAATTCATTAAGTATGCATCCTTATCTCTCTTGGCACCAAAAAATAAGGTCAAATTCTTATTCAGCGGTGCAAGAAACTTTATGTATACATGTTAGTTTTATTTGCTCTGTTTTCAAGAACTGGATTGAAGAAAATCAGATATCTCTTAGGTTGAGAATCAATACCAATTCCAATGGACAATAAAGGCCTGTGAAGCTCAGGATAACGGACCTCAGAGTAAGATGAGACTCAAGAATTCTGCCTAGTCATGTAAACAGGCAAACACTCAATGAGCCTTTCTATAAGATGTTGTACACATGTTGTTGAATGCATTGATTTCACTCTTAGCCCTTTTAAATGGTTAATTTCTCAATCTTAGTAATGCATCTCTTTGGTGATCAGCATGAGGTTTGGCATTTGATCAGTAGTCTGCAAGTTCTGAAGTACCTCCCTAGTGTCTCTGCATATTTTCTTGGAGGTTCTTATGATAACATCAGCGCCAACCCAGAGGATAAGTGTGGATTTTCCTGTGGGTCTCACGACTTGCACATACCTCTCACATGATGCTGAGAGGTCCTTTGCAAATGCCTATTACAAAGTGTGTAAAAACCTGAAGCTCTCTGGCAATAACTCACTCACCTAATTATAGGGTGCTAAGGTCAGAAAAGTTGCCTCAAACCTCCAGGCATCAGACTGGGGCTATAAATGCAGGCAGCAGTAATAAGAAGGCCTTTATTCCAAGTAGGTCCTCTTCAAAATTTTCCTTCCAAAGCCTATGAAATGTCTTATATTTTCCCCAGTTTTAAGTGGCAATTACTCTATAACTGGATATAATTTAATTTATATGTAAATGGAATTATATTTTTCATTTATATTTCAATTAAAGCTGAAAAAATTTACTATGTCTGGCTTATTACAAGTGAAAAGACTGAGTAGAATGAGTCTTTTTTTTTAGACCAAAGATAGAATTCTAAATTATATTTATACTTTCCAATTTAATGGCATGATTATATTGAATGAGAGTTATGACATTTTCTAAAATGTCTACACTTTTCTCAACTCAACAAAATTTTAGTCTACTTTCCTAATTAAAAGCTAATAAGCTCATTGTCACACATTTTCTTTTCTTTTTTTTTTCTAATCTCATATTCCTATTGTAGCCATTGTACATTTTCAAGGCAATTTCAGGAGTTAATTGTTCCTTTAGGAGAGTTTTAGTGAAAGAATACTTTACCTGAACTTCATGGAAGCCCTTGCCATTTATGTTGCTTTATTTATGATTACAATGATTTTTAAAACATAAATTTTTCCGTGTATCTTTTACACTCTTATTTCTCTGGTGTAGAGAATGATGGAGATTCCTATGGTTCCAGGTATGGGGTCATGCAATTAAAATATGCATAGCATCATTTGATTAAACATATAAATACCCAGGAACATATAATTAAGATATTAACATGTAATTTCATCCTTTTGTGGAATGAATTAATTCAAAATAATGTTATTTACAAGCAGTCCACTATAATTTGGATCTAAATTGTCCCCCAAAGGCCAGTGTGTTGAAGACTTGGTCCTCAGCCCTAGAAATTTCTGGGAGATGGTGGAGCCTTTAAGATGTGGGGCTTATTTGGAGGTCTTCAGGTCTGGGTATGTGCCCCAAAGGGACTGTGGGTCTCCACTGTCTCCTCCTTTTTTCATGTCCCAACCATGATGTGAGCAGGTTTGCTCTGCCACTCACCCCTTGCTGTGATGTGCTATCTCACCACAGGCTCCAAATCAATGGAGCCAATCAATCATGGACTGAAACTTCCAAAACTATCAGCCAGAAAAAATGTGTCTCTTTATAAGTTGATGAACTCAGATATTTGTTACAGTGATTAAAAAAAAAAAAACTAACACACAATCTAAGGTTAAGTTTTTAAATACATAAAAGTATATTAAGAAATTTATGGGGGTGTCCTAATAACAACCAATATTTACACAGTTTTTATCATGTGTATTAGTACATTAACCTTTAAAACAATGTTAAGTTATATGTTCCTATAACCATTTCCTAGCTAAAAAAGTTGAAGCACAAATGCTAAATAACTTGCTTAAAGTCATGTAACTAGCAGTGGCAAATTCAGATTTCAAACTCAGGTTACCTGACTCTAAACTTGAGTTCTTAACCAGCACGCAACACTGTCCCTAAAACTTATTCCAGGCAGTTTCCCATCCAAGTGTTAGCCAAGAGCCTTACTAAACTTCTTACTTCTCGCTAAGTGTCTACTTTTAGATGACTTGTGATTAATTTACATACCTTTGCAAAACAGAATCTACAGAAAGTTTCACAGTAACACCCTAAGCTGCTTTCTGTCCCTAATTTAATCCAGACAAAAGATCCTGATTTAAGATTGCTAGATTCAGCAAATAAAAATATAAGTGGCTAGTTAAATTTTAATTTCAGGTAAATACATGTTTTATAATATGTCCTGTGTAATACTTTAGACATACTTAGAGTAAATAATTGGTTATTTACCTGAAGTTCAAATTTAACTGGTATAGTTCTATATTTTTCCTGGCAACCCTGGGTGTATTTTATTCTCAAATATCGTCCACTGGACAGGAAGAGAAATCTATAGGCAAACTTGAAGCCCATCTTGCCATCTTGAGCCAAATAATTCCAACATGGTTGTTAAGGTCTGTAAACAAGTCAAAATAACACCTGGTATGTTGCCAGGGGAATGTTAGAGTTCATAAACAAGTCTGGATGGTGCCTGGCAAAATACCAGAGGGAGTGGTTTGTGAAGTAACAAAAGTGAGCCATTAAGTGTGGAGATTCCTTATTGGTTGACTGATGTATCTAGTTTATGCTAATTAAGATAAGCTGTGCAAAATGTATAAATACCTCTGTTGTCCTACAATAAACGGCTTCCACTCCTGCAGTATCAAAGTACAGAAGTTATTCATCACCGCCCCCCCCCATTCTGCTGCAGCCAGACTGTGGCACATGGTC